GGAGCTGAGAAAACGGTAATCAAGGATCAAACTTGGCCCCCTCCCCAACAGTACGGGCTCCACAGCAGGCCCCAAAGGAAGGGAATAGAACAAACCCCAATAACTATTATATATATTGATGCTACTCTTTTTCCTGTTATTATTACATAACAACAAAGTGAAATGAAGTATTTTTTTTTCCCTCTTGACATAACACAGACACATGGCTGCTTAGGTCTTTCATGTTGTGCCACAGATTAATTAGGAGGGGACACGGGGTTGGGAGGGAGATACTCTGCCGTCAGTTGAGCACAAAACAGGCAAACCCAGATGAACTCAGACAAATGCCACTGATGTGCAACTTTGAAGCCCCAAATCCCACTGTGGGCGCATCCAAGCAAACCACTTTATCTGTGCTGAGGTGCACTGACTCCAGCAGAGTGCTGGCTGTAACAGGAGCACGTGGGAACGTGCCACAAGGTAGGGCTGGGGCACCTCTCTTTTAAAAACTAGTACCAATTACACAAGAGTGACAGAAAAGTGCCATCTGATGACACAAGACTTTGCAGAAAAATCTAGAAATGCAACTTGTGCGAAGTTTTAAAATAACAAATAATCAGCAATTTTAAAAATTGCAGCACTTTCTGTCCCTTGAAAAATTCCTCACAGACACTTACTAACACCTTGTAACTCTTGATAACAGTGACTGACTAAAGTCAGAAATATGTCCAAGTGGTCATGCAAAGAGATTAATTTGCTTAAAATCATATATAGAAAAATTGAAACCCAGAAATATTTGCTAACCTCTCCCCTTCATGACCTCAATGTTTGCAGAAGGCCCTGGATTGATAGCCCAAGAAAATACAGTTCTCTCTTTCACTATAGACAAAATAAATCAAAGGCAATGGAAATGCAAACATTTTATTTTCTGACCAGAGCAGCATACCTCAGCTTACTCATCTCTTTTAAAGGGTGACAAAATACTTCTGCTTCTACAGGCCCAATAGGTGACCTGCCTTGCAACTAACTCATGAGCCATTTGTAACTGTACAAAGCAGACACAAAACACAATTGTTCTGTTTAGAAGCACTGTGTATCCATTTTGTACAGCTGTAAAAAACTACTTTACATGCAAGGTGTCCTTATCCTGGCCTCTTTTCTGAAATGGTCAGTAAAGGCATCAAGTGTAATAGAGAGTTCTGTTAACAACAAAATTAAGCATCTTTTAAAATGAAGTTCATGTACTACTATGAAGTGTCTACATCAGTTATATTGCTCAGTAATTACCTGCTTTGGCAGGATTTTAGCAATGAAGAGGTATAAGAGGCTCCATGGTGTGCTATTATTAATATGGGTAAAAGAATCCAAGAAACAAGGCACTAACACTGACATGTAAGAAACTGTACCATGTAAATTTTAACTGTCTGGATTAGGCCTCTTACTTTTACCAGCAACTACTTATGCATACTGAAAAGATGCTGCTTACCCACTACTGCAAAGCTCTTCACAATCTACAAATGATAGGAGGAAGCTC